TCATCAACAACAACCTCAACTACATCATCAACAACAACCTCAACTACGACGACCACAACAACTACAACAACATCAACCACAACAAAAACCACAACAACAACCTCAACTACGACGACCACAACAACTACAATAACATCAACCACAACAAAAACCACGACAACAACATCAATCACAACAACAGCATCAACAACACCAATAACAACACCAACCACAACAATAAGAACAACAGGTATAGTTTTTCAGACAAGAATGAGTACAGAGAATTTTTGTTTGACGTATGACTGATAGAAAAGACAGCATATTCACAATCCATATAGCATCTAGTAGCTGGTCATTCACAGAAATTGTGCCCGAAATTGTGACCTCAGTTCTCTTGGAAATTTTCAACCAAGTAGACAGTGTCTTCTTTATTTGTTTTGATTGACATTTTGTCAAAGAATTTTCTCTTGAGAGGGTAATTCACTGTTTGCTTTGTGGTAAACAGATTCCAGTTCCAGTCATTAACTGATGCTAGTAGTAACTAGTTGATTACTAATGTCCATTTAAAAAAAAGAAGAGCGATAACTGTTTTTGAAATAATCTATGATAGAAAAAAGATTGAAATCTGAGATTTTTACTATATAATCCGGTATATCATGCGTCTGGAAAACGCTGATGATAAAATAAGAATTTTTTTCTCATAGAAATCCTGAACACAGCTAAATCACGAATGAAATAATAAATTACCAGAGATATGTCCTTTGCTATACGTCGAAAGCAGTACGTCTGAATTTATACGCTATAGTCCTTGGACGTGCTGATTAGACAGTACAGATTCAGACGCAGAAGATGATGTAAAAAAAATAATCTAGGATTATCGTACTTAAATATAGATCTAGTGAGAACAAAGTAGTTACTGTATGTTTTGATGTGCAAGGACGGGATTTTAGTAAAGAGTGAGAAGCGTCCTGTCTTTGTAACGAAACGTTCGTAGTGTACCGATAAGTTTAGGAGTAAATCTGGAGAAATTGTAAGACTGTTTTCATTTTTTCCATCTGTTTTTTTGAGAAACGATGGTTCAGATAGATGGTATGGGTGTGGGTGAGTGTGAGTACTCTATTTAACCCGTACCACGTCCAGAACCACTATTTTTATGCTTCTTTCGTCATCTTACTTGATAAACTACTATGATTATTACTAGAAAACACTTGAATCAATGAAATTATTTCATATCATTTCAAATCAGTGTAAAATAATAGTGTTAGACACTCAAGTAATTGTTACAAATAAATATTATTTTCATTAAGACATTCCTGCGAGTAAAATGGTCTTCTAATTTTTCGTAATACGAATAAACTTTTTTGCGCATAAAAAGCAAAGTCATAAGAATTTTAGAGTATCTAAGTCAGTTAATTCTGACTAATCTTTCTTAATTTTCTAATTTTCAGCTGAATTTGAATTCTTCTAGACTACTGCAGATAGGAGCAAGTGTGATCGAATAATTTTATCTGACTTTGATTCTTAAGAACTAGTTGTTTTACTTTTGAGTTGGTGCCAGATAGTTTTATTTAAATCAAAACTCCAGAATGACAGCATTATTTCTTTTCTTTCACATGTTTGTAAATAGTGAATCTCAAATTTACGACCGATCATGATTTCATTTAGCATTTGTTGTCTTTTTGATATTTATCTATTAATACTTTTTTTAATTTTAGCCTCACTTGCTTGCAGTATTATTTGTTGTACTGCTGCTGCTCCTACTGCGCCTGCTGCTCCTGCTGCTGCTTGTATTGCTTGTGAAGATGTTGGTACTCGTTATTGTCATCATTATCCTCCTGGTACTCCTGGTCTTCCTACTGGTGGTGGTTTTGGTCTTTATAATAATCCTGCTGATTGTGCTGGTGATAATAATAATAATGGTTATTATGGTTGTTAAGGGCGAATATTTATTGACTTCGAGTTTCATGTACCAGCAGAAACAACTACATGCAAAATCAATTAAAAACATTCATACTATGACACTTTTTTTTCGAGGATGAATATTCCTCGCAATTCAATTTTTTTTAAATTATCTGTATTCGAGCAAATTTTTTTTCTGTTCTTCTGTTTTATTAGTTATCATCCATTTGATTGTTTTTTTCATTTTATTCTATATTTATTCTAAATAGAAACTAAAATAAAAACTTAAATTCATAAGTTATTGCATAATTGAATTAAGTGCATGAGATGAACATAAGATTAATCAAAAATGATGATAAAATACAAAATTAATAAGAATCCGTGATGCTTCGATAGTGGAAATTGCCCTTATCGAATCTTATACAGAGTTTGTTATTAAACTTGTTTTTGGCTCTTTTTCATTCAAATGTAATATAGGTTACAATCGTATGTTTACTGTTCAAGATGTGATGATTGCTCATATTATTGTTACTTTTAATACTCATTGTTTTGATAAGAATGACAAGCAACTCATTCAATACACTATAAGCTAAACAAGGTAAGTCTTTCTTTTCTTATTTTTTAGATTTATTTTCGATATGTTTATTACAATGATAAGCGACGATGTCTGATGTTAAATTTATTTTTTAAATTATAGAGAATATTCTTGTATTGTCTTACGGGTTGGCTATGTCCATTGCGTTTCTATTACTTCCGAAGATGTTCTCTTCACGCATGCGTGAGTAAATAAACAAAATACAATTATTTCTCTCTTATGTAAAGAAAACATTTACTTATTTATCCAGAAGAAAAATTATAGTTCCTTTTTTACCATTTCAATACTTTCTTTCACACTTTCCAGATGAGGATGATTGGGTGGTAATGAAACTTTGAGAATGTCAAGAGCACGTTCAAAATATGAGAGTGCTTTTGAATATTCTTTCATGTTCTCATACAGAAAACCGAGGTTGTTGTAGGAAGTAGCCAACGACGGATGATTAGCAGGAAGAGTTTTTTCTTGGATTTCACGTGCTTTTTCATAAAATGAAAGTGCTTTTGAGTACTCTCCCATGTGATCATACACCAAACCAATATTATTGTAGGAAGTAGCCAACAAAGGATGATTTTCAGGAAGAGTTTTTTCTTGGATTCTAAGTCCTTGTTTGTAATACTCAATAGCCTGTTGATGGGTGTGGGTGTGGGTGTGCGTGTTCGATACAAGTATATTATTTACACCTATCAACATACCCACACCCTCGATAATATTCAATAAAAAAAGTAGTTTTAATATCAAAGACATTTCTAAATATTAGAGATCTGTTGAACAAGTTAATTATGTCTTTTGGTATAGTTATTTAAATATAATAGTGGTGTCAGAAATTAGTATGAAAAAATAAAAAAAAGCTTACGACACTCGGTATTCCCAGGCGGTCACCCATCCAAGTACTAACC